TTTTTTTTTTTTCTGATTGATCAAGCTTTTTAAGTCATCTTTGAATCATAATTCATATTTGAAAAATTCTTTTATAAAATATAGAGATGTGTCTCTCAATCTTTTTTAAAAAATTATTATTAACCCCCTAACACTCCCCACACAACTTTTTAGACATTTTCTCTTAATTGTTCCCTTCTTCCCACCCCACCATGAAATTAAATACTAATTAATAAGAATTTTTCAAGTAGAGTTTAGCTTTGGACATCTAACCCTGGTAATATCTAATATTCTCACCAGCCCCCAAGAACCATTGTTCACCCCATTGAAGGTACTATTACCCCCACTGAGAAATTTCCATTGAGAACTTCCGGGAATTTTCCCTGTGTTGTTGTTGTTGTTATGTGCCGTCGAGTCAGACTCGACTCATAGCAACCCCTCCTTGGGTTTCCAAGGTGATATCGTTACGGAAGTAGATTGCCCAACCTTCCTTCTGAGGAGTGGCTGGTGGGTTTGAACTTCCAGACTTCTGGTTAGCAGTCAGGTGTCTTAGGCACTACGCTACCAGGGCTCCTTAGAAACTATATATTGTTTGAATCCTTCCAAATTCTGCAAGGATTTTCTCTAATGAAATTTTAATCTGGTGTACAAACAGGAAGTTCAGAAAGACCAAAACCTACAGAAGACTCCCTTTTTATTTCCTCACCCTAACTAAACTCTCATTCACAACTATATTTTGTGCATTTGAAGGAATGGTTGAAGAAAAAGAACAAAATAATGGGCAAGTAATCTAGTTCAGTAGTCAAGGACTAGAATGAAATTAATATGGGAAGAGTAACAGAGTAGGACTCCCAGAAGAACAAACAAATCTGTTCTGGAAGAAGTGCAGCCAGAATGTTCCTTGGAGGTGAGAATGCCCAGAACTTCATCTCACCTACTTAGGTCATGTCAGAAGGGACCAGTCCCTCGAAAAGGTTATCATGCTTGGTAAAGTGGAGGGTCAGTGAAAAAGGGGAAGACCCTAAACAATATGGATTGACACTGGCTGCAATGATGGGCTCAAGTATAGCAAGGATTGTGAGGATGGCGCACAACTGGGCATTGTTTTGTTCTGTTGTACACAGGGTCATTATGAGTTGGAGCTGACTTGACAGCACCTAACAACAATGACAAAGACTGAACCATGACTGTGACCAAATAAATGCCTTAGCTAAAACTGTGTGAGTCTTCAGGGCATGAATACCTGCCTTCTAATTTTTCTCACTGGTCCTGTCTCAATCTAATTTGTCAACTACCATGGTCCTGATTTCTTAGGTTTTGTTTCATTATATATTTGCTGTAAAACCCAGAAACACCTATTGCTGTCAAGTTGATTCAGACTCATGGTGACCCCATAGGATGGAGTAGAACTACCCATAGAGTTTCTAAAGTTGTAATCTTTACAGAACCTGACTGCCACATCTTCTTCAATGGAGCAGCTGGTGGATTTGAACCAACAATCTTTTGGCTAATAGTCAAGCGCCTAATCGCTGTACCACTAGGACCACAAAGTTCCTAAGGATGTATTTTTTAAAAAGATGAATCAGGAGAAACATGTGTTCCTACCTTGGACTGATAAAACATCCATCAAGAATTAGATGAGGTATCCTAATTACTGTGAGATCCTGGAGGAAAGAGATCATGTCATATTGACCTCATAGCTATAAAGCAGCCACAAAGTAGTAGTTTGCTGACAAAATGACCCTTGTGTGGTCGCTAGAAACACCAAATCAATTATTTGAGTTTATCTGAGTTAGTATAAAATTTTCCAAGTTGAAGATACTTCATTTAAATTTTTTATGTCATAAAGTTATGTATCTATTTTCTTTCTGATATATTTAGTGGTAAAAATAAGCATTTTGAAAAGATTATACAAAAACACATGAAGCTAATTAAGCAATATAAATTGAATATGCTGAAAGAAAATACAAGGTGAAATTCCAATACTAAAAAAAGTGCTTGTTTTGTGTGAAGAATCATAAACTCTATATTATAATGAATTTAGTACATACATTCTAAGGAGCCTGGTGGTACAATAGTTAAGTGTTCAGCTGCTAACTGAAAGGTCAGAGGTTCAACCCCATGCAGTGGTCCCATGGGAAAAAGAACCTGGCAATTTGCTCTTGTAAATATTACAGTCTAGAAAACTCTATGGGGCGGTTCTACCCTGACACATGGGGTTGCTATGGGTTAGAATCAACTTAATGGCACCTAACAACAACATATATATTCTGGTGAGCTGAAGGCAATTCTTACATATACGACATATTTCAGAGGCATAATTTAAATCTGTACAGGTTGGGTATCATTCGTAAGAGTTATAGGGATTTATAATGGGGAGAAATCTTTTTACCATTTACTGTTTCTAATCTTAAGAGACAGAGTCATGTGATAGGTCTCTTTTAATTTTTTACAGATTAGGTGAAAATGCTTTCAAAATACAAGATATTCAGTCTTCTGTTCTATAAAACAGTGGGACATTAAAGGCTTTAAAATATGATGCCTTTTTGGATATCCCAAAGTGTATCTGCACTCTTTTTAAAAAGGGCCTCCTCCTCAGGATTCAAGGTAACTTTCACAACATCCGATATACCATTCTGCCCCAAGACACAAGGGACACTAAGAAAAATGTCTTCTTTTATTCCATATAAGCCCTGAAAGACAAAATTAGATCAGTAATGCAGTATGGAAAAGCAACAGTGCAAGAGAAATTTTGAAAGAGAGCTTCAAAATAAGATTATACCAATGATTTTGCTCTTAATGCCAAATATTTAATCATTTTCTATAAGATGTAACTCATCTATTGATTCTGTTCAGTAAAGGCTATGAAATTCGTATATTACTCATTCTCTTCTCAGAGAACCTCTCTAACTTTTCATAAGAAGCCCTCTATGGATAGTTGCTTATTCTACTACATACTCTGTGTTATGGATTGAATTTGTCCCCAAAAAAGATAGGTTGAAGTCCTAACCCCTGTACTTGTGAATGTGCCCTTGTTTGAGGAAATAGAGTCTTTCTTTGAAGATATTATCAGTTAAGTCATACCAGAGTAGAGTGGGTCCTAGTCCAAATTGATTCTGTTGTGTTATGTGCCCTCAAGTTGGACCCGACTCATAGCGACCCCTCCTTGGGTTTCCCAGGCAGTATCACTACGGAAGTAGATTGCCCCATCTTCCTTCTGAGGAGATGCTGGTGGGTTTGAACCTCCAGCCCTCTGGTTAGCAGTCCAGTGCCTTAGGCACTATGCTACCAGAGCTCCCAAATTGATTCTAAGTGATACCTTATAAAAGGGGAGAAAAGACATGGAAACAGAGTGACACCAGAGGAAGATGCTACATGAAGATACATCTACAAGCTTCAAAAGAATGCCAAGGGTTGCCAGCAGAAAAGAGAAGCAAGGAGAGAGGCATAGAACAGTTCCTCTCTCCAATGCTTCAGAAGGAACTGAGATGACCAATACCCTGAACTGGACTGCTAGCCTCTGTCACTATGATAAGATAAATTTCTGTTCTTTAAAGCCACCCACTTTGTAGTATTCTATTATGACATCCTAAGGAAACTAAGACACTCTATATCCTGGAAAAAATGAGGGAGGAGGAATATCCATTATATATCCTTCATGGCCTCTTCCAACTCAGCAATCCTATAGTCTTGTAAAAACAGAAAAAATATTTTGCCCTTTTTTTTTTTTTTAGGCTTATCTTTTCAGCTCTTTCTCCCTTTCTAATGACCGTCATCTACTGAACATTCTGGTTATACAATCTCATCCACAAAAAACTTTGATACCTAGCTCAAAGTCTTCCCATATATCTCAATTTCTGCCATTATTTTTGATGACTTCATTGTCCAATGTAGATAAACCAACCAGTTCTCTTTCTTACCAATTTCTAAACTTCTTTAGCTCATGTGACCACTGCCTCCCACTCCATTTATCCTACTCTGGACCTTGTTATGGGGTTTCTCCATATCCAACTTAGATTCTATGGCCCATCATTCAGTAACCCTTTGCCTCTTTCCCTCTTTTACTTTTTAGTTTAAAATTTGTTTAAGTTCTTATCTTTATTTATTTTTATCATTTATCCGTGTATATACAGATTACAAACAAGGGCATCGCATTTACCTGTGATCCTTTAGCAGAAGGTCAAATCTGTTTTTAATTTGTATGCAAGTCAAAGCTGCACCTCTCTTCTCTCTTCTCTCCTTCTTTCTCTCCTAACTCCCTCCTCTGTTCCTTTCCCTAAGCTAACACCCAAATCTAGATGAATTCAGCTATCTGCTTTCTTCATTCCTGCACTCCTGTCACTAGAAAAATCTACACAACCACGTTGATCTTTAACTTATATTGCTAATTTAACATTTCAAATTAACACCAACCTCAAATAAGCATACTGGCAGTAATTCTGTCTTTTTGAGTGTTCAAATTCTCTTTCCCACTATCCACAAACACTATTTCAAATCTCAAAACTCTAACTTTCCTATGCTTCCCCTTTCTCTTGGCAGATGATTTTGTCTCCTTTCATTAAAAAGACATGAAATCATCAGTAGCTTCCAGCACCAAATTTACAAATCTACACAAATCATTTTGCACCCTCTGCTTGTTATCTCCTGTTACAATAGAGTAACTATCCCTCTTTTCTAGGGCTAATACTTCCTACCTATACTCTGGATCCTACCCTCTTTTGCCTTTTCAAGAGCTTTATTGCTTATTACTTCTGTCTTCAACCTCTCCCAGTACCTAACTTTTACCATCAGCATCTGATCTTTTTTTTTTTTTAATTTTCCCTTGACCTGATTTTCCTCTCCAGTTACTGCTCTCCATACCTTCAGAGCCAAATACCTCAAAAGAATTGTCTACACTTGTCTTAATTTCCTCAGCCTACTCCAGTAGTTCTCAAGTGAGGATGAGATGTCCCCCTCACACACACACACACACACACACACAGGGATAGTTGGCAATTTTTTCGTGACATTTTTGGTTGTTGTGGTAGGGAGGCAATCCACTGGAAACTAATGGATAGAAGCCAGGAATGTTGTTAACATCCTGCAATGTACAGAACATCCCTTCAAAACAAAGAATTATCTGGCTCAAATCTCAGTAGTGCCAAGGTTCAGAAAAGCTGGTACACTCCCATGAGGTTTTAATTCCTATCACTTCATTAAACAGATCCTACTAAGATCATCAGTGACCTGTGACACTTTATCCTACTGGCATTTTTAATCCTTATTTTACATGACTTCACAACCAACATCAGTCAACAACAGAAAACCAATCTCTTCATCTTAAAACACTCTCCTTTCCTTTGGTTACCACGATTCCATGTTTTCTTTGTTTCTTTTAATTCTGTGGCTGCCACTTCTTAGTTCACCTTTATGGACTTGTATTATGAATTCAACTTTTAAATATTGGAATTCCTCAAGGCTCAATCCCAATCTTCATTGAGCTTTATATACTCTCCCTGGGAAGCCCATTAAAATTCATGTTTTACCATCTGTAAGGTCTTTGCCTGTCTAGCATCTCTTCTTCTGATAGTATTCACATTTAAACTCAAACCCAAAATTCTTTTATGAGTTTCAGAAGTTTATAACCATTTTCTCCTTGAATGTCTTATCTTAAAGATATCTGAACTTGTCCAAACCTACAAACATCTTCAAACCTGGTTCTCTTCAAGTAATTCTTTACACAGTGAATGATATCGCCCTCTAATTGTACAAAACAGAAATCTAAGAGTTGACCTTTCCCTCTCTCACTTCCCACTTTATTCCTGTGCATTTTACTTCTTCAGTATATCACCAATCTATCCCCTTTTCTTCAAGACCTCCGGTACTACCATCCTCTTTAGTCTGAACTCCTGCCTAGCCTTATAACAAGTTTCCCAACATCTCCTCTTGTCCCCTTCAAATCTGTTCTCTCCATCACAGACACAAGGTTTTAACAAAAAAATTGCCAGTCCCTTGCTTTAAATCCTTTGATGGCTTTCTGTTGCTCCTATGGTAAGGTTTCAAACTCCTTTATAAGGCTTTCAGTGACCTGACCCCTGCTTACTTCTCCAGCCTCACAAATCACCCTTTTCTCTGAATTCTCTGCACTTCAAAATATGTCTTGTACTCATATCTACCTCAGATTTTCTGCACATGTATTTCTTCTTCTTAGAATATTACCCACCCTTCTAAATTAACTCCTACTTATTATCCAGGTTTCAGATCACATTTTACTCCTTTCAGAAGTCCTCCCCTAACCACTTCCCATTGCCCTCTCCCCAGAGTAGTTAAGTCTTCCTAATGGGAGCTCTGGTAGCATAGTGCCTAAGGCATTTGACTGCTAACCAGAAGGCTGGCGGTTCAAACCCACCAGCCACTCCTTGGAAGGAAGGTTGGG